TATTACCAATATCAATATTAATAATGAAAATCTGTATTACATATATGTATATATATGGACTATGTATACAGTATAGTGTTCCGCCGAAAACCGATACTTTAATTTGAAAAACTATGCGCGATAAAATTATGACACCATTGTTCTCATTTGAATTCTGTTTTTATCATTTATCTATTTGTTTATAGGGCTTTATATAATATAAATATTTATAAATAATAAAATTAAGAAGATTAAAAAAAGAAAAATAATAATTAAAAGAAACGATAATTTAAAAATAAGAGACTAAGAGAAAGAAAAGATCGATGAAAATAGAGGCCCGAACATTCATGGTTCTATTTACAACTGCGCTATACTCGTTGTGTACTTAGCTACGTATCATATGATGTAAAATGGACCTTGGATATTTAAACAAACATCATAGGACCTGAAGGCACAAGAGGGCAACTCTATTCAACCGAGAATATGTGCTAGGGTACACTGATTTTCAAAATGGGTTGTTGTCGGGTGATTTTATTCTTAGTACTCATTATCTTTGGTGTGGAAGGCCAGATTCAGTTGTGCCAAAATACCGACAATTTGGCATGCAAATGTGAGACACTCGCTGGACTAATCGATATATCATCACTCGGAAAGAAAGATGGAATACAGTAAGTAGGTTTATGTAAATTTGATTGCTTATGAAGCTAAAGGAGGCCCACAAGCTTTTGTCAATAAAGAATATAGCCGAAACACCAGCGTAAATCCAACTGTTAAAAGATCTTTAGCAATAAAAAGGAAGATTGACCGACTTGCAACTCTTCATAAAGCTGGAATGGGTCATCTAGATTACCCCGCGCCTGAATAAAATTTAAGACATAGTTACGCCTTTGAACGAACTCCCAAAGAAGAAATTTTAAAATGTTCATCCACGCGTACAATGAAAGAATGGAATTTATTACCAAAATCTTTTACATTCATAAAAACCAAAGTGGTATTTAAAGCTAGCTCAAACGCTAATTAGAATGTGTGGAGGGGATTTCCCCTTGCCACAAAGGGGGCTACAGGCTCCCTGAATCTCAAGGTAGCCAAAAAGTCCAGTGGCCTCTTCATCAGTTTCAGTTTATTTATTTGACCAGCAAAGAAAGATCGGGGGGAAGCTTAAGCAAATGAATCACTAGTAACTCTTTAAAGTCAGCTACCCCCACCCCTCTGATCCCCTATGTTATGCCACTCAAGATGGGTGGCTTGACCACCAGCCCCGTAACTGGACTCGTTGATGGGGGGAGATACTAGTGCCACGCCCACCTAAGGCCCACCACAGTTAGAGCTGAACTTGAATGACACTCTTCTCCCTCCTATTTTGGCTATGGGGATGAATATCCACTTCTTTTCACATCAAAGCAAATACCAACAGAGAACACACGGATGACACTCTTATATTCATTAGGTGTTCAATCTTTACCACATTTTCCCCAATAGTGTTTTTGCTATTATAAAAAATAATTTTTGCTTTTAGTTTTAAGTATTTATATATCTTTAATTTTAGCAGGGAGTTAAACATTCTAGCAGGGGGAATGGCCCCTTCCCCCTCTTGGCTACGGGGTTGTTGAGCACACTGCATTGGATTTGTGCACTCTATTATTATTATTATTATTATTATTATTATTTTTATTATTATTATTATTTTTATTATTATTATTATTATTATGAATGAATGAATGAATGAATGAATGAATGAACGAATGAAAGAACGAATGAATGAAGGATATTACTTTAGTCGAATAAATGTTTTCACTTTGGAAATTTTTTGAACAAGGTCAGAGGCCAAAAAGAACGCAATAAAACAACTAATTTGTGTATGCATATTTTCTTTTATTATTGTAGGTATAAATCTATGGAAGCGACCGTGTATCCATCAAGTTACAAATTCTCTTACAATCCATGTTATCCTTTCAACGACTTAAAATGCACAAGTGCTGCGGTAATACATACACATTGACAAATGTATCATATCATTTTATGTTATCTATAGCTGTGAAATTGAAGGCTATGTATGATCTTTGATAACCACGCTAATAAACGTTGATTTTATTGATATATTTACTTGGGTCGCTTACTATTCAACCATCTAAAACCAGCTGCATTTGATTACTTTTTCGACACCTTTGAATCTGTCCATACATAAATTAAAAGAACCAACATTAGACAACGGAGTATTACATATGCAAGAGTGTGGAATTACTTACCAAGTGAACTAAGAAATTGCGTGGATATTTTAGCTTTTAAAAAAATATTAGGGAGATTTTTCGCATCTTTACGAAGATAATGAATACGAATATGTCATCATCACTATCATCATTTGTGCCTAAAGCAGTCTTAAAAATACATATAGGCCTACGAGCTGAATATGATTATTTGATTCATGGTAAGGGCATGGATGGCCTACGTTATAACACGTATGATACTTAACTATATTATAGAGGAAGGGTTGTCTTAAAATTTGGTGACGTATTCGTTTTCATTATCGTTTTCGTAATTTTGTGAAAACTCCCTATTAAAAAAATTACCTCGATAAGTATATATATACAGTGAATAATGTAAATTCTCATTTAAAAACAATATTATAAACGTTAGATAACCAACTCATTTATCATTGTTAAGTTTTTTTTTCTTCTTTTTTTTCTTTTTTATGTTTAGTTTAGCTTTTAAGGGTCACACATGTAAAACAATGCTTGTGGTGGGATACCCATTTCCACATATAAAATAAGTGATATGTAAAATATTTATTTAATTTTGAAATTTGTGGAATAAAGAATTGAATTGAAAAAACCCCTTATTTTCTGTCGTATAGAGTTGTCAAGAGGGCGACACGGACTCGTTCAACCTCGGTACCCAAGCATCAGCTAAGTGGTCGATGTGTGATGAAGATCCTAACAAGAATTGCATTAGTTATACTGCAAAGCAAGATAACGTAGATCGGTAAGTTCATGTTTTCCTACGCTATTAACTCAAATCAGTCAGTATTTCGCAAAAGAAATGTTTTATTAGTGAAAATATTTGTTCAAATTTAAATATTAATGTCATATCCCAATATTCCTTGATGAATTTATTTGCTGACTTCAAAATGTCTAAGAAAGTATAATACATACTCCAAGTATTAAAATACACGCCATCGTGTTAGGATTCAATATTTCGACATTAATTATGTCATCATCAGGAATGAATCAAAATGTCTATAAATCCAATCATCGGCTAAGTGGTCGATGTGTAATGAAGATCCTTCAAAATGTCTATAAATCGAATAGTTTGGTGACAAAATTTTGTATGGAAATAGGCCTATAGTATATAGTACAGGCATAGCTTAAAATAGCTAAAAGCATTTGCTGTAGGCCTATTTAAATATGTACAAGTATACTAAATTTAATAGGGTAATTCAAGTGTCAACTAATTTCGCTGCATTATCTAAATATTGATTCCTGAGATGGGGGTGGGGTTGGTTGAGCTGAACAGAAAAGAAATGTTACGTGAAGGGACTTGCAAAAGGTGTTTTATTTTAGCGGAACAGAGTGCACGGGAGCTGGGAACATAGGGCGTAAGATAAAAATACGACGGCGGTTTTTTTTAATGAGAGTGACTTAAAATCTTAAAAGTAGCTTTTAATGTAATTCATTCTTTAACTCGAAGCTAATGTGAAGGTGTCGGGTTTAATGTGTTGTTGATGGGGCGGGTGTAAGAGAACAAAATCGGACAGCAGACTTTTAAACTTTCTACAGACGAGGAAATCAAATAAATCAATAAACATAGTTATAAAAAAAGGATAATCTGTTGCTTTATCACTTCGTCTTTTTTTTTTGATGTGATGTTTGTCTTCGTTTTTGATTCTGATGTTCTCTATGTTGAATATGAAAAAAAGGAATGAATAAAAACAATGATAAAAAAATAGTATCTGACAAAAACAAAGTAATATTCTAAAACTTCACAAAGATTTCTAAAGTATACTGTGAAAGGTTCTATAATCTGTGTATGTATAATGTATGTATGTGTAATGTGTTTTTAAAGTATTATGCATTGTTGATATCATTATAGCACAACAATTGTAGTACTTACATGCAATCCATCGGGTGAAACAACTTTTTCCGTAGACGGAGAATTCCCTGGTTCTAATCCACCTCAATACGTGAGTATTTCAATTAGGATTATCTAGGTAGATACGGCCTATAAATAATTTATAATTTCCTAAAACTAACATACATAGGCCTATCATAAAATATACCTCTGAAATAAAAAAATAAAAAATAGTTTACTTGTAGGGCCTAAAGGTTGTATGAATGAATGTGAACCAAGTGGATAAATGTGTAAATGGATCAATAAATAAATAATAAAAAAATAATTAATGAAAATAAATATATAGGCCTAATGTGGTGAATGAATATAAAATACTGTCTGTCTGTTTTTTTTTTTTTTTTTTTTGATATAGAATATTTTCTTAGATATAACATGAATGAATGAATGACTAAGTGAATGGATAGTTGAATTAATGAGTAAAGGGATAGTTAAATGAATGAAAATAGATGAAGTACCGTATGCGATACTTTTGCAGATATATAGACTGACCTCTAAGTGTGCTTGTCCGAATGGGTGTGGCGGCGGCGGAGGTTCTGGTAGTGGTGGGCTAAGTACTGGATCCATTTTGTGCATCACGTAAGTATTTAAAACAGGTAAATAAAAAAGAAAATTAATGACTGTAAAACCTCGAATTGAAGCCCATTGGGCTTAATCTCGAGAGGCCCATCTCAAATCGAAGCCCTCCTTTTTAGTTTGTAAAATTAGCCTCAAAATGGCTTCTTTTCAAAATAGCGCAGTCTTATATTTAAGATAGAAGAGTAGGCCTACATCAATTTTAAAGAAACAAAATAAATTGGTTTATATAGAAGTTTAGGTGATTTAATGCCGGTTAACTCCATGATACAGATTGATGTTACAGTGGCCCTGTTATTGTTTTATAGTACTAATTCCCCAAATTTACAGCACTCATTTTGAAAAGAAACCTCCCTCTTGACTTTGCAAAAGTGGCTTCGAAAAAAAGCCCATTCAAAGTTCACAAATAAAACAAACCCATCAGTGGCGTAACAGGCGGGGGAAAGACTGCCCCCCCCCCCACGGTTTTTACCGGGCTGACCAAGCCGTCGTACCGGGTTGGGTAATAAGAGAGAATGGAGATTGGAGAGGGAGGGAAAGAGAAAGAAGTGGAAAAGAAAAGGAAAGGAAAACGGAAGAAAAAGAGAAGAGAAAAATAAGGACAAGAATAAGATATCATAATTACCAGACTCACAACATCCTGCAACCAATTCTCCACTTCAAAAAGTGTCCATAACTCCTTTGATCTAAGCCACCAGGGGGACAAGGGGAAAATATCCATCAGTGGAAAATCTTTCCCCACTTGAAGATGCCCTTTTCACCCCCTGAAAGTGCCTAAAGATCTCAAATATCGCGCGCATTACTTGTTAAAGTAGGCCAATTTCCTCTAAAAAAATTTTTAAAAACATGTTTGGTAGTTTTGATTAATTCCGACGAAATTAGAATTAAAAACACAAAAATATTTTGCGCGCTTAAGTTTTTTTTTTTAGGGTTTTTTAAGGTTAGCTTCATAGGTTATTTAAACACATAATAGTCCGTGACTCAAGAAAGAAAATTTAAGATAGATCGCTTTAAGAAGGGACTCAGTGTGTAATGAGGTGAAAGAATATGTTTGTAATAAATAAAGCCATAATGAAAATGCTTATATTTAGTTTTAAAAAAACCGTGTGTGGCTACATATAACATAAGCCCTCAACTCAAACAAAAATTTTACGCCATTCGCGTGCATTTTTTGGGGTGAGGACTTCAATGTGCTTGTCCTCCTTTACCCTCTAAGTTCAATTGAACACATAATAGTCCTAACTCAAATAGAAAGAACATTTAAGATAGATCGGTTTTACCTAAAAGAAGGGTAGAAGGGCCTCAATTTACGGTATTGATGGTGAAAGAATATGTTTGTAATAAATAAAACCATGATGAAAATGCTTACCGTATATTTAGTTTAACACATGTGTGTGGCCTATATTACAAATAAGTTAAGCCCTGTCGTACTGTTTTCTATATAAGGGGGTGGTGGGATGGGTATGATAAATTACTAACCAGGAAAATTATTACTTTTTCCCCCCTGACCCAAGACCATGTTACGCGCCTGAAGCCCATGGCTTAAATTTGAGGTTTTACGGTATTAGAATAGAGGTGGATTGAACCATGATATAACAAACCACCCGAATTTAAATTAACATATACTTTATAAAGTACCGAAAGGTACTAATCATAAGCCAATAATTTGTTTTGAATACAGGAATTTCAGAAATTAGTTTAATGAAGGTCTAAAATTTAGTACGTGTATGCAGTACAATATTTTAATTTATATCCAAAGATTCTCTGTGTTGGTGGTGGTGTATTTGGCTGGTGGAATCGCGTTTAATTTTACAAGACGAGGAGCAAGCGGCAAGGAGGCGATCCCGAATGTTGAATTATGGATGGATTTTCCTGCACTTGTGAAGGTAAGCGAAGCCAGTAGGCCTATGTTTTTATCACCACACATCATCCGTGATATATTTATTAATTAGGCCTATCGATTTGACAGACACACACACACAAACATGAATCGTATGAAGGCCTAAAATTAAGACATTTATATACCATTTTTTCTTCTTAAAATGGTCATCTAAATCTGAAAGTAGAGCTTCTAGCTTCTTTGACTCAACGAGCCGTAAGTCTCGACATTAAAATTACAAAACAACAAAGACATGCAGTACTAAAAAATCTAAGAATATTTTATGGGAAAATATAACTGACCATATTGGCATCTGATGCAATACGAAATTAGGTCTATACGTGCCGTTTGGGGTATAATTTGTTGTATATGAATAACATCTTATAGACCCTAATTCCAGCTTCTAAAATCGGATTTATATTTTCAGGATGGAACTGTCTTCTTCATAAACCTATTTAGGAGGGGAGGAGGTGGATACTCAACGATGGAATAACAAGGAACAGTGTGTGCATTTTACTGAAATAGAGCCAACATTACAGATACAGTATAAAAACAAAAACGCCGAATTGCTAAATTCGAGAAATCACCATCCATCGCACACTCCCCGTACCCATTTTTTTTTCCGTACAAAACAATAGCATGAAAAGTCTTCACTTGGACCATCTTGGATTGACTCAAGTTTGATACGATACTAAAGTTTAACAAGAGTAGGCACTTCGCAATGTCGTGACGCTCGGGTATTAACTATTACTGTTATTTCTATAATATGTTTACCTACTGCAGGCCTATGAAATCTTACTGAGTTATGGGATGTACGTCTGTATCTAACTGCAAGATCATGCGCTTTGAAATGTCAGATTTTTTTTCGAAATTAATCTACGTACAAATACCTCTAATTTGATCATTTTAATGCTTAAGAGGTACATGGATAGGGAGCAGCTACCACTGAAACATGATTATTTTTCATACATTATAGACCTAACTTTGTAAGAATTTATAATGTGCATTTTATATCAAGTCATGATGGCAACAAGGATAAAAACTGCAACATGCCAAATGAATGTCTGACTTTCTTTAAATGTTAAGATGGAAATTTAAAGTGACCTGTAGTAAATAAATAGGTGTGGGCCCTGCATTCAAGAAACCATGATGAAAATGTTTAAAAAAAATATTTAATACAGAATGTGTGTTTTTTATTTTGTGGCAAATTTAATAATTAAATGAGAGGAAGAACATCTTAAAATTTGTATAAATTATTTTTAAAAAAACATACAGATATACTAATTTACAGTGTGTACAATATTCCATCACATGCATAAATAGCTTTTAATGGTAATGGTAATGGTGGGATATTTTTAGTGCACCTTCCACAATAAAATCGTCTCACGGCGCCGAAGAAAAGGTAGGACCATAAATTATAAAAAATAAAATTATTTTTATATCTTAAATTAATTAGCCTATATTAATCAGAATATTTTTTATTTTTTTTTTAAATGTAAACCATATCCCAGGCTCATTAATGAGGTTTGACATAAATCTGGCAATTTTATTCTCTCTCAATTTGAAATTGGAAGTCTAGCACTATATGGAATATACTATATTTATATGTATAGAGTTTATGAGAATCAAAAACCAATTTCAATGTCCATTACAACAGATTGTTCAATACATTTTATAACATTTAGTATGGCTGGATGGATTTATATGGTGTGAACACCAAGGATAGCCCACAAAAGTCTGAAGAAGACTTATTTCCAGTGGGGTCCTCCTGGTGGTGATTGGGCAGTACATCAGGAGACAATTCCTTACTCTTTTCCGAAGGGTGTACTGCTTTCTTTAACGTGCACATGATCAACGCCTTAAGTGTCTCATCTGTAAGATGGTGCGCTATCGTATCTTGCATTTCAGGCCTCCAGTTGAAACACAAGGAGACCTGGAGGATCTCCATGGTTCAGCAGACACACAGTGACTACCACCAGTTTAGCCGCCTGAGCTAAGCTGCACTCTCAAATAAAGATTATATCTTTTCAATTATCATTGATGGCAAAATGTAGGCCAATCATTCTGTTCAACTTTCATTACTTCCAAAATACTTTTAACTAATTCAATATCTAGGTCAACAGTTTTGTTTATATATTCATCAGTAGTTGGCTTCGAACAACTGCAATCACCATCACAAGCCTCAAAATTTTTACAGGTTTCATCTTTATTTGTAAGTTTATCGAATAAATCTTTTTTGTTACTCAGTCTTTTCTCATCTGCTTCTAATTGTTTAGTTTGTAATAATCTTTCATTAGCTTTTTCAAGCAGAGATGCCAGCTTTGTACGGTCTTCAAATGGCAGAGTTCCATAAAGCTGTTCAGATGTTGAAATTGCACTGCAAAAAAAGGAAAAAACAAAACTAAAATGCTCAAGAACATCAAGAAATTGGAATGCACAGTTTGTAGTAAATACATCATTGGGATGGTATGAAGAACAGTTATTCCTACCATTCCGAAGACGTACTTACGTCTTCGGGATGGTAGGAAGCAGCGGTGGCACCAGCGGGGTGGGGGCAGGGTTGGCATTTCTCCCCATCAGACAGGCTTGGACCCCCTGTCGTCCAACGAACGACCAGGTCGTCGGAGCGAAAATTAAAAAAATATAAAATATAAAATTTTCTTATCCAAATAATGCTATTTTGATTGTCAATCCCTAACATTGTGGTCTAAAAGCACATTTTGGAGAATACTAAGCCATAAAAACTCTCCCCATGAACCCTATCAAATGATATTTTATTCCAGGCCGTCAACCCAGGCTTCTTTGGTTTGGACTTCTCTGTTTGACAAGTCTGACCCCCCATCGGCAAATTTCTAGCGTCACCGCTGGTAGGAAGTACAATATTACTGCTTGATGTAAATATAATTTATTTATTGAAATGTATAACAGTACCTAAGAACTCCCTGTAAAAAGCCTTTTGGAATACCACTTAGAGATGCCTGCTGAAAACCTGTATTGAAACCTTCTTGAACGGTCTCTTGTTCCCCCTTCACAATACCTTCAGCATACCCTGCCTGCAAAATAGAAATATGACTGGGTAATAAGTACAAGAGAGCTGTAAATGCGGAGCTGTGGAAAAATGAAATGAAAATAATGAAGCACTTTATTACACTACTTTTAAAATACATAAATCCTACGTCCATATAATCGCAATCCATCTCTACTATCATTAGAATAACATATTATTATTATTATTGATACTTAATTCAATAAGTATTACTTACTATAATTATATATCATTAATGTACACCTACTACTTACTGGCATAAAAAGGGTGACGACAAAGTTAACAATAATAATTATAAATAAAGATTTATTAAAGCGTACATATCCACTTCAGAAAGACTTCAGACAACATAATGCATCATAATACAGCAGATCATGGTTGTGAATTTAACATAGTATAACCATGGAGGAAGTTTGATGGTATAATTAACGAATACTGTACACACCTTGAATCTTGCATCCGTCATCTTACCCCAGTCCCCAGCAGGTGCGTCTGCATACTCATCCCATACATCCATTTTCTGACTAAATAAAAATACCAAAAACAAAACCAAGGCTTTACCCCTATTCTATATAATAATATACATACAATAAGTCAATACAATACCACCAACTTTACATAATATTACGACCATCATCACATTACTATGCAGGGAATCCAGGTCGTTTCGGCCCTTTTCGGGCCAAAACGACCCGAATCAGAAGTGGTCGCGCCCTATTGTTTGTAAGCATTTTGATTGCGATTAACAGCCGCAGTATGGAGCGCAAAGTAGGTACTGTGGTTTATTTGGGTCCTTTATTTTTGAAGAGTTATTTTGTGTGTTTTAGTATGAATTGTATTTATTTTGTCTTTCTTTACGATGCTTGACTATACATTATACTTTTTTATTTTAAGTATGATTATTAATTTTTTTTATTGTTATTGTTTCATAAATTTTAATTAGTTTGAAATACGTAATTAGTTTAAAAATACTTAGTTAATATCAAAAGAAGCCTGAGACAGCAATTAACACTGTAGGCCTATAAATTGTATTTAAACTATATTTTACTATTTCCATTTATTTGTGTATTTTATAAACATAATCAAAATATGTATTGACAATGGAATTAAAACAAACGAGATACAAACTACGTGTCTGCTTCACCTCAACATAGAAATAGGCCTAATTGTCGCTCCATACACCGAGGCCGAAACGCATGACAAAATTACCAACTCAGGGCCGAAACGACCCGGGGCCGAATCGACTCAGGGCCGAAACGACACTACACGTCCTTATGCAGGTGGTGATTAGCAGGGTTCTACATTAAAATTTTATTCACTTGTGAAATTGCTTTTTTAACCGAAAATTGCACCATACTTTTATCTTTTTTATGACATTTTAAATTGTGAAATTGTGTTTTAAATTGGAATGGTTGTTTAATTAGTAATGCTTCCTTTGTACTTTTAATGTATTTTTTTTTGTTGAAATTATACATTTTAAATTTCGTAAAGCACATTGAGATGTCGTTTGATATGTTTGCGTGTATGTATGTATGTATGTATGTATGTATGGGGTGCAGGTCAACTCGGCCACAAGTCAACTCGGCCACAGTCAACTCGGCCACAAGTCAACTCGGCCACAAGTCAACTCGGCCACAAGTCAACTGGGCCACAAGTCAACTCGGCCACAAGTTATTTAATGTAAATCTAAGTTTTTGCATCCCTTTTCTTCAATATATGATTGAAATAAAGTACACAGTATGTTTTAGTAAAACAGGACCACCACACTACCAAAAGAGATTTGAATGCTATTGCCTATGAATTAAAAAGAGTTATGTATTAATGTGTTCATCTTCTGTTTACTCACAACATTCTACTTTAACAATACTGTAATATTAAACAACAATAACGACAATAAATTAGTAATATTTACATTAATACTGTAATACTATAATTAGTCATTATGACGATAATAAATGTGATAATAACAACAACAACATTAATAGTAATATTTATTTTAACAAATAGTAATAATACTAGTATGGTAATAATAACGATATTTAAATATCAATTCTAATAACTAATTAGTGATAATAATGATATTGAAGGTGATAATAGAAATAATACAACAATAATAAATTAAAGATAATGTTTATTTTTATAATAACAGTAATACTAATTAGTAATAATAATACTAATAATGATACTTATAATACTAGGCCTACTTAGTAATAATAGGGTAATAATATCGATAATAAAGGTGACAACAACAACAATAATATTAATAATAATAATAATATGAGAAAAATACTAATAAAACGCCCATAACAACAACTTTTTAAATTACTATTATTAAAATAATAATACTAAGACTAATAAATAATAATATGAATAATAATAAAAAATCAAAAATTATTTATTATTTATATGGTACTGTAATAATAATAATATCAACAAAAATTTGAACAATATATAATGTTAATGCTAAGACTAATTAATATTAAAACTAACGGTAATAAAAACAACAATAATAATAACAACAATGACAACAATAATAACAACAATAATAATAATTAGTACAATGTAGTACTTGTGGCCGAGTTGATTTGTGGCCGAGATGACTTGTGGCCGAGTTGACTGTAGGCTAGCCAAACTTTTTGTGGCCGAGTTAACTTGTGGCCGAGTTGACTTGTGGCCGAGTTAACTTGTGGCCGAGTTGACTTGTGGCCGAGTTGGATCGAATTCTATGTATGTATGTATGTACAGTATTATTATTATTCTCCGCATGCACTAAGTATTGTACTCTCTAGTGCCCAGGCCTAGCTAGGATAGCCTAGCTCAGTTGGTTGGCGCGGCCTAGCCTACAAGATGTCCGAGTTGCCCGTCACAGAATCTCCCTAAAAGTCTAGATTACTACAAAGTCGTATAAACAGTAATGATGTGGTAAAGGTTTTCCCACAAGAATGGACAGGCCTAAATATCTAGCAAGGTATGAATAACTGACCGTCACAACACAAACACAAAAAGTTCTCACAACATGCAGACGGACGTACGTTTGTACGTGTAGGGAGCAGAGCAGGTCGCACGTTGACGCAAAGATGGTTGACGTGAGTGTGTACGTACGTGGTAATGCTGAAAAATTTAATTAACATTCGCGGCCTGCCACGATCCTGCTGGCTAATAGTATTCGAAACATTTAATACGATTCGTATATTATGTACGCAAAGTCGTGCTGTTGAATATAGTACACAACTAAATACGGTGCGTGAACTTTTTTTCTAGGGTAATTTGTAAGTGATTTATGGTATATTTAAGTGATATATATTATTATAGACATTTAGTAATTAACAAAAAGTTTTTTTGCATTAAAAAAACTTAATAGAATGTCATACTGCAAGAATATAGGAGGTGTGCGTAGGCCTAGCTAGCTAGGCCTATATACAATACTAATAGATACTACTAGGTAGGCCTAGGCTAGGCCTATCCTAGCTAGGCCTATCACTACTACTACTACTACTATTACTGAATTCGATCCAACTCGGCCACAAGTCAACTCGGCCACAAGTCAACTCGGCCACAGTCAACTCGGCCACAAATCAACTCGGCCACAAAAGTTCGGCTGCAGTCAACTCGGCCACAAGTCAACTAGGCCACAAAAGTCAACTCGGCCACAAATCAACTCGGCCACAAGTCAACTCGGCCACAAGTTATTTAATGTAAATCTAAGTTTTTGCATCCTTTTTCTTCAATACCATATGATTGAAATAAAGTACACAGTATGTTTTAGTAAAACAGGACCATCACACTACCAAAAGAGATTTGAATGCTATTGCCTATGAATTAAAAAGAGTTATTTATTAATGTGTTCGTCTCTGTTTACTCACAACATTCTACTTCAACAATAATATTAAACAACAATAACAACAATAAATTAGTAATATTTACATTAATAATACTAATTAGTCATTATGACGATAATAAAGGTGATAATAACAACAACAACGTTAATAAATATTTATTTTAACAAATAGTAATAATACTAGTATGGTAATAATAACGATATTTAAATATCGGTAATAAAAACAACAATAATAATAACAACAATAATAACACCAATAATAATAACAATTAGTACAATGTAGTACCAGAAAATGGCCGAGTTGACTTGTGGCCGAGTTGATTTGTGGCCGAGATGACTTGTGGCCGAGTTGACTTGTGGCCGAGTTGACTGTAGCCAAAATTTTTGTGGCCGAGTTGACTTGTGGCCGAATTAACTTGTGGCCGAGTTGACTTGTGGCCGAGTTGACTTGTGGCCGAGTTGACTGTGGCCGAGTTGACTTGTGGCCGAGTTGGATCGAATTTATTCTTTTGACTAGGCCTAGCCTGGCCTACGCAAATTCAACACATTATTTAATAATATAATAATACGTACAGTACTGTACCTGTTGTTTTGCTGTACTGCTCAGCAAATTTAATTATTACCAATAAAATTGATGCGTTTTTTATATTGTTTTTGCGTGCATTTCTTTAGGTCTGATTATGTTTTTCCCAGCACACATTCTTCGTTGGGTAATGCTGGTAGGCAGTCTAGCTGTAAACAGAATTGGTCCATTTTCGTGGGGTGTTTTGTACTAGACGTGCTTCGGCTGTAATGACGTCAGATCGCCCAAAGTTTCATAGTGCGTGACAGTAAACAAGCTCGGTGTAATCAAGAATGTTTTGTTAAACAAATTTATAAAACAAAGCAAAAAACAAATAAGAAACCCTCATGGTATCATTTTAGAGTCAAATCTAAATAAACCTAACGAATTAGATTTTATTCTCTACTAATTTCCTCCGTAATAAAATTAGCAACATGTTTTGAATAGCATCTTGAGGTGCATTTGCAATTTACACTGACGAATCTAACAAATTTGAATTACTAGACGTCTACTAAGAAGAGTAACCAGTAGGAACTTGCTTTGTTGAGTTCCGTCTTTATTTCATGTTGATTCCAAATGGTTTTTAAGGATTAAAAGCAAGAATATACACTAATTAAAACATTGGAATGCGTACCTAAATTTCACTTCATAATTAACCAACAAAACGTTTACTGGCGTGTCATGTTAATCAACGGATAATCTCCATGGCAATGCGAGTACAGCTAAGCGTCTCGTTTTCACAGCTTGTAAAAACGAGCTTGCTTGTCGTTAAACGATGTCTATTTAACTATCGTCTGGTTTTTCCAGTGAGTGTTACCGTCCTGAATTGGACAAATTGTCCGAGATTCGGAATAGGGAGTTCATGTTTTCAGGAAATTATTTTATTAAAAGACAAATAGGAATGATTTTGGGACTTTAAAACATGTTCGGTTTTGCGTGAAATTCGATTTTGAGGGCATTGAGTACACATAGTATTGTTCTATGTTAATATTTTTTTTTTTTTTCGAAAATTTGCAAGTCGAAATCTGTATAACTCGACCTTTTTATGCCAGTCCCATTAGATTCGACTTAGGTGGAGTCGACTGTATATCCAATGTAATATGCAGTAGTTATGATGGGACAATACAGTAAAACCTCGAATTGAAGCCCAGTGGGCTTTATCTCAAGATGAAGCCCATCTCGAATTGAAGCCCCCCCTATTTAGTTTGCAAAATTAGCCTCAAGAAGAAGCCCATCTCGAAAAAAAGTCTGTGGGCTTCTTTTCAAAATAGCATAGGCTTCTTTTCGAGATAGTACAGTACATACACTGTGCATGAATTTATTTTCAGAAAACAAATTAAATTAAAAACAAGCTTGATTTATACATTACAGTATTTTAGGTGATTTAATGCCAGTTAAATACACTCCATATTACAGATTGATGTTACATTGACATTATTTATTGTTTAATTGTACAAAATCACAAAATTTACTGCATTCATTTTGAAAAGAAGCCCCCTCTTTACTTTGCAAAAGTAGTCTCGAAAAGAAGGCCATCTAAAGTTTGCAAAAAAAGAAGCCCAGGGCTTCAATTCGAGGTTTTACAGTATTTTCCTAGCGATTTTCTGCGCAAATTTGAGCTAGTTTTTGAGGTGTCATCTGTGCAATCAAAATACATTTTAATTAATTCATTTAAGGGCTACCATATTTTTAAAATTATTATTTTTATAAATGCAACATTAAATATTTTTAGTACAGTACCGTACTAACTGTATATATTTGTGGCCTCTATGAGTAGAAACTTTTATATGATAATTAACATTTAGCAGCTTGAGTACATACCTTTATTAACTGTACTGTGCTAAAACAATCTTTTACGTTTTATATTAATTCAGCATTCAAATAGTGTACAGTCAACATTGACATTAAATATACAAGTGTTGTACTGAGTGTGGTCCTTGAGAAAAACTTTAGGTGATCAATGATAAGTAGAACAATACACTGTGAAATCTTTGAATAATTTCATAAGGTTTCCAAATATTGAAGAATTCAATCCATAAACTTACCTTCCTTTAATACACTGCAAAGTTCTACATATTGAAGCAGTTGTTAGCATTGAATATAGAGTAGTTGATTTTTGACATCACTTCATTTTGTATGAATTTTTTGTTGTTTGAAAATGCATATTTTCCATATTTATATCTGTTCCATTCCAATTGAGTGAGCATGATATTATGCAGCGTAATAAAAATAATATTATTATTTTATTTGGTTTATTTTAGTTGGTGTTTGATTGCGGATTGAGCTGGATTGAGCAGACTTTGATTTTAGTCTAAAGCGGTTTTAGTGTCAAAGTTAATAAGGTTGAAGTTGGGTATGTCAAAGTTTGATTGCGTTTCTAGTGGATTTTGACTCAAGTTTAGTGTTCTTTGAAAGTGGTATTTAATATTAATTATTCTATTATACAGTATACAATAATTAACATTATTGTATACAATATAATTATATACAAAAAAGAATGTTCAGTGAAGTCATGACGTAATAGTTTGTGTTTTTCCTCATTTCCATATGTAGGAGTAATGGATCATTCAGGGAATAGTTGATTCCGTCTTTTTTTTTAGACGATACAATACCTCTAGTACCATTTGCACAGCGTCAACATGTAGTAAGTATTAATGAGCCGTAGTCTATTGATTTCCCTCGCTACATCTAGCATGGTGACTCTCTCTCCCTCTTGTAGCATCATAGTCTCTCTATAGCATCATATTCATATGTAAACTACAGTAGATGTTATTTTTGCTTCTTTGTCATGGTAGATATCTTTATGTACGCTAGTGTCATACTGTATAAAAATACTGGTATTAATTTTAATTTAATCTTTGTGGCACTTTATTACAACTTGTAGCATGTTGGTTCACTTCATGTGAGATAAAATTCTTTAATAAAAATCATTATTTTCTTTAAAATGTTGAACACTCTGTATTATTTTCTGTGTATTTTAATGTAATCTTGATGTTGACTTGCTAGTTGTTCCATATGGGTCTCTTAATGTAGCATCATACATTATATTCTTGGTACTTATATTGTGTATTTAATTTAATACAATCTTGATGGTGTCGTCTTGCTACTTGTCACATGGTGGTGACTTTCCTCATGGAACAAAACACTTGATATCATATACTTGCCTGTCTTCTATTATTATTTCAGTTTTTATGTTATTATTTATTCATGAACAGTTTATATTTGTCACATTTTTAATGTTATTTTTAATGTACAGATCATTGCAATTCAGCTACCGGTACTTGCTGTGAACGTGATTTTTGAATAAACATGAAATTGAACTTATTTATTTTTTAAAATTTTATATTATTTATACTGTCTACAGTTAATAATATAACATTGATTTCGAACTTTCTGCTTCTAGCATTAGACTCTTATCATGTAGCATCATAAAAGATTGATATTTGTTTACTCTCTACATTAAATTTAACCTCATTATTAAACTTGCTACTTCTATCAATGGACACCCATCATGTAGCACCTTAAAATATTGGTATTATTTATTTTCTACATTGGATTTAATCATGATTTTGTACTCGCTACTTGTTGCATGCTGGCTCTATTCATCCTACCATCACACTAAATCTTCTGGTATTATTTTATGTCTGTCTCAATGTACAAGCATTTTAATAAAACCATACTACTGTACGTTATTGTACCAAATGTTTTTTTTATAATTCAGTCTTTTTCTGCTGTAATGTTACATATCTTTCATTTTTATTTTGGTATCCATTTGTACAATAAAGTATAGCATATTTAATTCTTTATTTCAATAACTAATCAGGTTTTTCATTAATATATCATTCTTAAACTGTACAACATGTAATAATTAGATTGAAAAGGCTAATTATGTTTATATGTTATAAATTTGCTTGGTTTAGCTTTTATTTGATATATTTATTAATAAAGAAATCAAGCAAACTCCATATATATTCAGTAAGGGATCCAGAAATTCGAAAAAAAAAGAGGTCCAAGGAAGGACTTTGACAGGTAGCATGACAAAATGATTATGGCACCTCTAAATGCTCGGAAATTGCACTCTCAGAATTACATTTGATTGTAATTTTCCTTTTTACTCAAAATTGTTTTTATCTTGAAAAATTAAGCGGGGCACGGGCCGGCTTGAATCTGCCACTGATATTCATATACTTACAATGACTTGGTTGCTTTACATAAGAAATGATAAAAACTCTCAATTTGTTATATAGTTACTTGTGAGGAATGCACATTATTTGATGAGTGACCAATTTAAATAATATTTTAAATAATTAACTATTTGTAAATGATTTGTGTTTATTGAATTCTTTACACTTTGGCGTCTCATAGTTTGTTTACAACAGCAATACACCATTCACATGCTTCATTGCATTTGAACAATCACTGCATGCAACATCTAAACATAGGGGATTAATAGACCCTAAAGTAGAACTTTACCACCTTTATACATTGCCATTCAGGCATACAGCACTCTGAGGTTTAAAGACCTGTCATTAGATTTTGTCGTAGATGTGGTACTTAATTACAGGAATTGTACATATAGCAGGTACATGGGTTTTGTATTTTTGAAACTGATTTGTAATTTTGTATGAGTAGCAATAGGAGCTGTATATAGTCAGATGTATAACAAATAATAATACAGATAGCACTTTTTTAGGCTAAACAAGCATGAGATTTCCATCACAGTAGTGAAGGCCATACCATCTCAACATTGGGGTTGTGCACTTTCCTCCCCTTATGCATTCTTGTAGTAGTTATTTTGTATACAGTAGTGGCCTAAAAAGCACTTAATGATTTTCACCTCTACCAAGGAGGTTACGTATTCACTGTTGTTTCTCTCTGTCTGCTGTTCTGTCTTGCTATCTATCTAAAAGATTATGCAAAAACTAAAGAATGGATTATTAGTAGAATGGTACATAATAGTAAAAGAAAGACGCCATTCGATTTTTTAAAGAAAAGGTCAAAATACAAGGTCATGGTCATGGAAATTAAATTATTAACCCTCAAGATTTAAAATAAATTATGCAATCAGCCCTCATATTCAGGAAGCACTCAAGAAAATAATGTACCTGAATATGACAGGCAATTCTATTTTATTATTTTCTTGAGAGTATGCTGCAGTTTCGCTTATCATACACAGCCTGCTTATTGTTGGTATTCAGGTACAGGGCGGGGTTACTCTATGCACTCAATGGAGTGACTGCTCTAGTATTGAATGTGGAAGTCGGGTAGAAATGCAGCACTGATTTTATTAGATGGTCTTTCATATTACTGATAAAATTTCTCATATTTATACTATATATTCAAATATATATCATTCTCATATTAATAAATTATTTTTACTATTTAGTATTTGTAAAAATATAGTACTGTAGTAAAAGTAGGCCATCTTACAGTATCTGTAGATGTGTATTCCATGTTTACTATCATTGAATCATAAAGTGAAATCTGAATGTTTGACTTTATCAGGTATCAACTCACAAGGGTAGTATTAGGGCACAGACATTGATCTAAAAGCTATGGGTCAACAATAAAAGCAGATGTTACTTTAATGAAGTGAAATTGGAAAAACCCCTTAACAATTTAAAATTCAGTTTTTCTTGTTAGTTAGATTTTCATTTAATAAGATACAAAGTATAGTGGATACTTTCTGCCTAAATTAAATGGACATCCGATAATCTCATCAACATCTAGTCAAATATAAATTAATAAATAATGCTTGTGGACAGTTTACTCCATATCATGAGGAAATGCTGTCATTTGTTGAAATTTATTCTGATTCAGTTTGGCATGATTATTCATTTTTTAGGCCTACATCTTTTTCGAAAGTTATTTTACACAAGTTGATTATGTAAAGCTCTTATACAACAGTATATTATGCAAAAACTGTTCTTTGAATGTATTGTGGACTTCATTGGTATCAAGTTGCATTGTATAATGATTAGCTGAATCAAAGATCTTTAAAGATCAACAATTGGTAAAGTGATCCTTTGTGTGTGCCTCTGATAAATATTGTCATGTATTAGTTCAAAGTGCATCATGTTATTTTCGTATGATTTTTAGCAGGAAATAATCTGTAGTGAATATGTTCTTTGATTTGCAGTGAGCAACTGGCCATTATTGAGGACGAATCCGAACAGCAAATTCCAAGTTCACCATCTTACGAAATGGCCAATACAAATGGTGAGTTGACATGAAAAAATGTTCAAGAAAATCTCTGTATTTGTTAGTTTTATAAAAGATAATAATAATGTTTCATTAATAGTACAGTATAATATAAATGAAATATGTTAAGAATAGTATTTAAAAATTAATGTTGGAATCTATTTTAGAGCTGAATTTGTTTTTCCTAGTAGCTTTCAATGGAAGCAGGCTGGCTGCACCCCGGACAGTTTCTCCCGGACACATTTTCCAGCATTTTTCCACAGACATTTCCCCCTCCCCCTCCCCAGTGATATTTTCCTCGGACTTTTCACCCTAGGAAAAATTCCCCAGGACTTTTCTCCCCACCCTTTACATCATGCGTAAATAAAACAAGAATTTGAATACAAGATTTATCATTCTTTTATATTTAAACCTTTGTTAAATCAATTGCTCAAGTAATAACAATATTTACGTAGAAAATATCTATACAAATGTGGGCAGCAAAGTATCTAAATAATATAAGAAATGAATTACAGTACTGAAAGTAAAAACTTACAAAGCTATAGTTTAAAATTACATAATTATTTTTTTATAAAACTAAAATACTTTTGATTATTTCAACTTATTAAATATTGCTATCCATATAGATTAAACAATGTTAATAAATTTGCTCTTTATTGTTATTAAATTTTTATTATATTTCTTATTGTTATTATTATCATAATATTATCCATACAGAGTAAACATGGTTATACAGTACATTTGCTCTTTATAGGTATTAATTTTTTATTATTCTTATTATTATCATCAAATTATCCATACAGAATAAACAAGGTTACTTCATTTTCTCTTTACAGTTATTGCATTGTTATTATTATTATTGTTATTATTATTATCATAATTGTCATTAAATTATGATCTAATAAGTAATGCTATTGAAGACATGGATTATAATGATTATAAATGTCTCGGGGGGAAATACCTGGGGAAGTACCAGGGGAAGTGCCAGGTGGAACTCAGCCTAGAACCGCTTTCAATATCACAATAATGAAGACTGTATAACCCAAACAATGTTAAGCAACCCTGTAGTGGAACAAAACTTGTTGATACCATCCATGTTTCACCAACCTGCTGATCACCATTAAATGATAAATTTGAATTAAAATTAAATTATATTTTTAGAGAACCCATCACTGTAAATTGTAACTTTTCTTTCAACTTTCTTTTAAATGTTCTCTAAATAAGGTAAAAGAAAGTCTTGCTTTCAAATGTTGATAGTAAATAGGATTAATACTGCCCTAACTTTAATAATGATAATGATTATCGCTGAGTAGACCTTCGACCTCCATTGGATTGATGGCTATTAATAATCTTCTGAATATTCATTAGCTGACAGTGTTCAAGCTCTGTTTTTAAAAAACAAATTCTATTCACTGCTCATCACTCACCCCAGTGCCCATGGTGGTACTGTAATAATTGTAATGACAACTTTACACATTGAATTGCATTAAATATAACTTTATGAAATGTGATTTAAATCAACGTTCCGCAAACTATGGTCCGCATTCCCAAATTTGGGCCGCGAAACAATTTTTGGGGCTGCAAAACCGTCTGGAAATAAAAAAAAAAAAAATAACAGAGATGTTTCATCATGGAGGAAATGGTTTTTAAAAAAAGCTGCTTCATTGTTACAGCTAATGCATCGCTTGCACACTTTGCAAAGTGCCAGATGATGCGTGCTATTTGAGTTTCTCTCAGGAGTTAGACACTAGGTTATCGTCTAGTAAGTACTCGATCTGTAAGATCGAGTAAATCCGGTGTGGGTGAATGATGGGGTGAGTCATGAAAAAAGATAAAAAATAAATATAAGACCTCTCCTAGAAAGATCACTACAGTAAACAACACCACACATTTCTTGATAACCGAATGCCCATGTGGATACTTTATTACTAAACACAATACCTGTATTGTAAGGTAGTCTTTCAAAGTTGCATAGTAACAGAGTGTGTGTAAAACTTTTGGAAAAAGGAGAAAGCTATGATGTGTGTGGCTGAACTGTGTTGGGTTGAATCATGGTAGAAAAAAAAACAAACCATCAACAATTGTGGTGGGGGGGGGACACAAATGTATGGTATTACTTATTTAATAAAATAATATTTAATTTGTATACAATGAAATTTTATCACTGAGAGAAAAGATAATGATGTCAAAATACTAAAATAGTGTATATACATGGAGGCTTCATGATCAAAAGTTCTTGCCAGGATTTGGTATGTTGCTCTCTGGTGCGGCCGGGCTGCTTGGCCGCGGCTTGGTGCCTGGAATCGTAAATAGGCTGTGAAGTAAAAAGTTTGCGGAACGCTGATTTAAATTACAAAGAGAATTTTTGATTTGTGAAAATTGTAAAGTGATACTAATTACTTTTATCTAATGAAGTCATTGTAAGAATTAATGATGTACCTCCATAGATCCACAAAATAAACTAATTTTAATGATGAAAGTGGAAATGTTTGAATTGGAAAAAAAATTAAAATAACCAATGATCTAGTAATTAAAGTAGTTTGATAATATGAAGCATTCATGTTTATTTCAAAGGAGATGTGCCGCCAGTATATGGCGCGTTTCCTGAGAATAATCCAAAAACTAGTACATCTCAGACATACTTTGAAGAACAAGTACCAATTCCAGATAAAGAAAATGTAAGTACTTGTATTACATCATTTGATTTTGATTGATATATAAATTATAGTCTGTGGACGAATGCTCCAGGAACAGGAAACAGTGAAAATAGTAGAATAAAATTGCATGATGACATGGTGGAAGGGGAGGTTTGAAACAGCTAGATTGAGACTGCTTTTCTGTGGCTGCATCAACATATGAGCAGGGGGTGGGGACTGCAGTAACTGTAGATGAAGTACCAAGTATTGAGAGTAGTAAAAGTTTTTTTGCTATTATCTATCAACGTTTTGCTACAAAAACTAATATTATAATCCTTATATTTTATGCTCAAAATAACTCTTTCTTTTGTATTGATTTCATTTGAATTAAGTATAATTTTAGTTTCCGCAAGTTGTGGGCATTCACTGGACCTGGTTTTCTAATGAGTATAGCGTACCTGGATCCAGGTAATATCGAATCTGACTTGCAGTCGGGTTTTGTGGCTGAGTTTCAGGTAAGGGTTTAACTTATGTTATATGTTGTTGTTGGCTTTGAAAATTGTTTTGCTTTTAACCATTTGTTTTTCTTTTGTTGAGTATAGGTGGAAAAATATTATTTCTTTTCATTATAAAAATTTAAACCAAACTCAACAAATCAGCTACTGCTGGAGTTTGGCCTTATATTAAAATACCTATTTCAATAAATTGAAGCAGACACCAATACTGAATCTAGAAAACAAGGAAGGTAGCATTTTGCATAATCTTATAATTATGTCTAGTAACTAATGTTAAAAAGTATTTGTGTTAGTAATGAGATTTGCATACATTTACCCATCATCTGCTTGTGCAAGAATAGAGTGCATCCCAATTCAGCTGCTGTTTTTTGAGCTTCTGTGCTTGAACATATTGTTATGTTAAATCACTTTTCGATATCGAATGTAATTATCATTGTAAAATTTATGAAAGGAGAAAAGAACTGACATAAACCATATTGCACAGTTAGCAAAATGCAATTTAATATTAAAGCATGTTGCACTTCTTCAACATAACTTTTTTTTATTTTTTACATATAATTTTCTTATCTTGATTGTCTTCATTAAAAAGAAAATTATATATCAGTTCCCAAAATCTTATTTTAAAATTGGCATTAAGCTACGTTCACATCAAGCCCGGATTCCGGAGAAAAAATCGTGAGAAATGGCTTTAGTGGTAAAGAATAGAAGCGTTCACATCTACACAGTCCGATTTTTTCCCCGGACTGCGGATTCGGAGCAATGGATCAGAAAGCCATTGGAAACGTGAATCTGAACGGATTTTTATTTCTGACCAATCAGCGACAAGTGTGAATGACCCCCAACGCTAGCTCTGAACTGAAACAGCTCGAAAAAAGTCAGCGCGAGAAAAGATACCGGGATTTGTTTTTGCTTTTTAATTTTATGCTGTATTTTAGGCATAACTTGCATCACACATCAAACAACATATTCACTAAAAAAGATAAGTATATTTCTAGTTTTCTTATTAAAAATAAAGTTAAATAAACTTCTCTCAGCTCTCTACTCTAGCCTAGGCCATGTAGGCCTAGTCTAGAGTCTGAGAGAGCGTTTATCCGGCCCAGCCTAGGGGCCCTACTAGACTAGCTTAGCTAGTAAAAAAACACGACAGCAGCAGTTGCTAGCCAAGTTGCGCATTTCCTGCAGACAGACAGACCCCACGGCACTAGCCTAGGCTTCATTCCTAGTGATAATAGAGAGGTGAGGTGAGGGCCTATCGTCTGTCTGTGGGGCCGGAACACGCCTTTTTTTAATCAATACATATTTATTCAACATATATTTTTATTTCAAATGGTTGTTTTTCCATCGTTTTTCCCTTGAAATCCCCAGGATTTCTTGCAAATATGTTTACTGGTACAACAAAAACCAAAACCCTCCCTCATCAGTCTTTTCTTTGATACTTTGATTTGATAAGGTGATAAACAAATAATTTTTTTATGGGGCCTAACCTGGCAGATAAACACTACAACAAGGATACCAGCCGGGAAAAAATGATGTGTGGGAGGGAAATATATAATGCTTATATCAGGCGTAGCCTGAGATTTAACTTGGCCTGGTCATTACTAGGCTCTATGAAAGTCTGAACATGTTTTGGCAGAGTCTACTCTCAATGTATCATCATAAAAATTATAAATAGTGTAGCCTAATACTGAATAACAAATTGTAGTTATTGAAACAGTGGATGAACAATGCAAATTATAATTTACATATCCAAATTATTTATACAAGTAACAATAATTGATAAAATTAATAATTTTATTTTACTTATCATTGTTTAGCCAGTTCATAGTTTGCTGAACAAATTATACGGACAAGTAATATAATTCACACAAGAGCAGTACATTATTTTAGCAATTAAAAACAAAATTCAGACTCCAACTCATTGAAAAACTGAAAGAGAAACTAATAATTAATTATAAAAACTTTATAGGCATACAAATTTTATGACTATGTGATGCAGTATTTGAAAAATATTTTATATTGTATTACAATTTACTATAAGCAGAATTTGTTTTATTTTGTTTCAGAAGTACTGGAAACTTATCGATAGATGATGAAACAATGCGAACACCTACTGCATAACATTGAAGTTGTAGTAGTTGCTGATAAAGTAGAGGGAACCCCACAAAAGACAAAAAATTCCCCCAAGTTTAACACTAAAAAGGAAAATGGTGAAAACCAAATATGTGAATTCTAAAATAGTGAAGTATTTGACAGCAAAGAAGGAAAAAGATCCATTGGCCAGCTTTGCTTTTTGAGTCTAGAAAACAAACTGTGCACAGACTTCCCAAGGCCAAACAAGTCCAAGTCAAAAATTAGTAATATTTCATTTCTTAGGTACGAGCAC